TTGCTGCCTGCCAAAGATCACTCTGAGGGCTTGCCATCGCTTCTTCCGCAGTGTTCGGATCTGATGCTACAGAAATTGTAATTTTTCGTGGTAGATTCTCCAACCGCTCAGAGCGCCGGAATACTTCAAGGTCCACAGCTGTAATTTCATCTTCTGGAACAAATGTGAGATCGTTATCAGTTGACAAATTTACAACAGTGGATTCGAACTAATTTTTTTAAATCGTCTGTAGACGTTTCGTCATCGTCTTCTATTGTAAATTCTTCCACACTTCCCACCCCTGAATTGGCAATGGGAGTTGTCTCAAATAATACCATATCCTGAATGAGTCGCATTGACGTCGTTAACTATAATTTTGAGAAGTATCTAAATCGGGATTTGACTATACGTATGGGTCCATAAATAAAACACAGACATACAAAAACCGAAACCGTTTGTTATATTGTTTGCTTCAATCCATTAACGTATTCCCTAGATATTAGGAACCAAAGTTACTTTTTCAAAAATTTGATCCTTTGCATCAATTGCGCGGGCTAAAGGTATGCTTTATTTTAATCTTTAGTGGCCAATTATTATTTTCCTAGTCCTAAAACAACATAATATTACTATTACAATAGAATCAAATTACCTTTATTTTCCCCCATACAAAATCGATCCAGCCTACTAATCATATCAACGCCTTTCTCATTCTAGAATTTACAAACAAGAACCAGATCACAGTGAAGGTAAGCCCATCTCTCGGAGAAAACACGCAAGAGCTAGTAATTTGCTCAGCGTACCTCCGCGGTGACTCCAGAGATTTAGAGTTTCTTCCACTACAGGGACTAGTGGACTATTGTTGCAGACAAAAACTGCAACTCATCGTGGGATATGATGCTAATGCCCACAATACCATATGGAGCAGCAGTAACATAAATCAAAGATGTGAGTACTTACTTGATTAGCCTTAATAGGTTAGAAGTTTTAAACGTAGTTAACTCCCACACATTTAGGAACAGTATACGGGAAGAGGTTCTAGATCTCACTCTATCCACTCGTTTTATCAGTAATTTCGTTAGCTCACATGCACATCCGTTTTGAAATAAAACCACATTACCAACTGCTACCACCTATAGAAGACCAAGAACCACAGACTGGGACAGTATAAGATGCTGCAAGCGGAAGGTAAATGACTTATTCCATCTTGAACTTAGCTGCTCAGATCTGACATCAGCCATTGTTAAATCCTACTATGAATCCTCTCCAGAAGTCACTAGGCTTAACAACAGACAGACTCCATGGTGGAATAGCAAATTGGCTAAACTTAGAGTAAAGACCCGGGTGCTCTTTTACAGAGATAAACGAACCGGTGAATGGAAAACAGGGATCAAGGACCTTACGGGAAGCGCAAGAATCCACAGAGTCCTTGCAAAGACACACACTAATAAGTTAGGGCTCCTGAAAAGACCCGACGGATCCTTCACGAATAGCTGCATGGAATCCCTTAACTTGCTAGCCGATGTTCATTTTCTTGACTGTTAGCCACTGAGCACAACTAGAACAATTTACACGCAGACTGGGATAAAACTCCCCTATTCAGAGGATTGGAGAATCGCCAAATGACGAGGATAGAATAAGATGTGCTATATTTGCCTCAGCGCCTTTCAAACCACCTGGAGCAGATGGCATTTTCCCAGCTTATTTTCAAAAGGGACTTCGCCGCTTGCTACCCTTGCTGATACCACTTTTCACATATTTCGCGTTAAGGTCCCTTCCACTACAATGGCAGGAAGTCATGGTCCGCTACATCCCAAATGTGGGGGGAAAACCAGCGGACTAACCAAAGGCATATCGACCAACTAGTCTTACGTCCTTTCTACCAAAAGCAATGGAAAGAATCGTAGGCAGGCATATCAGGGATAGTTTCATTGCCAGGAACCCATTACACAGACACCAATATGCCTATCTTCCAGGAAGATCTGGAGGACAAATTGGTGGCGGTGGGTTTTTTCTTGGATCTGGAGGGCGCTTTCGACAACACGGAACACTGTCTAATAGACAATTGCGTCCAGCGCTGAGGGGTTGATCAGACCACATGTCGCTGGATAGAAAAAGTCCTTAAATTCAGAAGAGTGTATGCAAACTCTAGGACAGGAATAGGTCAGATTCTCTGCGATGGTCCATTGTAGTAGATGAACTACTCTACCTTCTTAGCGAAAACGGCTTCGACGTTCAGGGCTATGCGGATGACATTGTCATCCTAATCAGAGGTAGGTTCGAAGATACCATCTCCACCCTCCTACAGAATGCTTTGAACGTCGTCAATTGGTGTAGTCACAATGGATTAAATGTAAACCCGAAGAAGACTTGCATAGTCATTTTCTCCAGGAAAAGGAAAAGCGGCAAATTAGTAGAACCATTCCTTCAAGGTGAAAAGAGGTCAAATATCTAGGAGTTATCCTTGATGACAAGTTTTCATGGAATACGCATATGGATAAAACTATTAAAAACGCCAGGGCCTCTATCCCTGACCTGACGGAAATTTGTGGGATGGAACGGTGGCATCCGACCTAAACTGGCGAGGTGGATGTATGATGCCATCTCCAAACGCATTCTCACCTATGCTGCATCCGTCTGGTGGAAGAAGGCGGAAGTGAAGTCCACACATGCCAAGCTCAGTAAGCTACAGAGACTGGCCTCCTGCGTGGGCATTACTGGCGCGGTGACAACCACACCAACTGCGGCTCTCGAGGTGCTTCTTGGCCTGCCTCCCCTACATATTGTAATCAAGATAGAGGCTCTACCGTATGTACACCCTTCCACCCTCAGGGTTATAAAAAAAGAAGATGGGTTGCGCATAAGCTTTGTGGACCCTTGCCTTCTGAGGTTTAACTTCTCGCAAAACGTCAAGCTCTTTTCCGCCGACAGGAATAACTGGGACAACGAACGACCTAAACCCCGGAAGGACAGCCACATCTGTTATACTGATGGCTCAAAGACTGACTACGGCGTCGGAGAAGGAATGTACGGCATACAACCTAGACTGCTCCTTTTCTCCAGCATTGGGCAAGGTAACTCTGTTTTTCAGGCCGAGGTTCACACAATTGAACTTTGTTTGAGGCAGTGTGTAGCAGAGCAGTGCTCCTCGCTCTTTAAGCCCACGAGGTCACCTCAAAGCTGGTGTGGGACTATCTTCAACCTTTAATACTGATCGCCTCCAGGAAACGGGTATACCTCATATAGGTACTGGGACACTGTGGAGTCATGGGCAATGAATTGGAACGTATTCTCGCCAGAAAAGGGGCTGCACAGGGATTCATAGGCCCAGGATCCTTTACCGGTCTGCCATGGAGCTCTGTTAGGCGAAACTACTATATCTGGATGAAGAACGAAACACAACATTACTGGACAAATACGGAAGGTTACAGACAGGTCAAGTCCTTCATTCCGGATATATCAGCAAAGAGAACCGAAGAACTCCTTCATCTCAGAAGGCATGAATTAAGAATTGTTACAGGCTTTCTTACTGGCCACTGTTGGGTAATGAAACACTTGTCAGACATAGGAGTCGTCAACTCTGACCAGTGTAGGTGGTGTAACGAAGAATAGGAAACAACAGAGCACGCACATAATGTGCTGTGAAGCCCCTACCACGACCAAACTTCGCCAGGCCTATAGTTGAATAGAGGTGTGTTACAATAGATCGTATCGGTCGCGGTAACTAGGTGATCTGCTCACGCCTCTAAATCTAATCTAATCTAGTAACAAAAAGGCGATTCTGAAAATACAAGCATGTAGAACTTACTTCCAAAAAAGTGGACGCATTCAAACGTAAAAATATTTTTCTATAATTTTTCAACATAAATAAATAAAAAACCAGAGCTTTTTTAGAAAATCGCCACGGATAGATAGACGCGACATTTAAGTATCTTTTATCTAAAAAAAAAAAAAAGAAATTGGAACCGGTTCATATTTGGGCTCTCAAAATTGATTTGTCTACAGCAACCTTTTTTGCCCCACTGTGGGTCGTAGGATCGAATCCCACTGAAAGAAGTCTGATGAGGAAATGTGGTAATTTCGGAAATAGCTATCACTTCTACAATTTTTTCAAAATTATTGTTGCTTTCCCACGATAGTTTTTCATTAAAAAGGTTATAATCAGTGTTGCCGTTTTAGCCCTTTGGTGGCTAAATTTAGCTACCACATACTTTTTTTGGCTACATTAATTTAAAATTGCCCCTAGCCCTTTGTTTACCCCTTTGGAGAATTTATTCATACTTGGCATGAAAAAGTTGTATGTGCTTAATTTGATCACATTTTTTTCATTAATGTAAGAAATGAAGTTTTAAACTAAGAAAGACTGATATACATACATATATGTATTCTATGTTCCTTAAGTTTTTATACATACATACTGTAAATGTGTTAGGGCTGTTAACTTATCTTTAACGATTTAACTATAGTTTATAGTGTTGTGAGTACTCCACAGCGTGGACGTGTTTTCTATTACTCAGTATTAGTTATTTTCTTTTTGCAATATATTTGCTATTTAATTAAGTGTAATACCCTGTGTTTGCGGGCAGAAGGTGGATCGTGGTGATCCTAAGTTGCAGTGTTCCAGATGCAATGAGCTTTTTCACTTAAAGTGCTTAAATATTCTGCCTGCTGATTTGGAGTTTCTTCAAAATGCGGATTATTCTTTTATTTGTGCTAAATGCACAAATGTACGCCATAGCTCTCTTCGCTCACCTCCTAATATTGTCAATGCTATTAAACGTGTTGGTGTAGTTGGTGATAATCATAACCCGGCACTGCACCAACAACCTGATAAACCGGTTTTGCCGCAGCAAAAAGATCCAATATGCGCCAACATTGAAATTACTCCGCATGATGTATACAAAGAGATTGCCGCTTTGAGAGCTGAAAATGCCCATGCGCTCCCCCTAATAAAAGCCCTAAGGGAAGACAAGAATTTACTTGAAAATAAAATCGAAAATTTGCAATCTGAACTGCATGCAGTGCAGCGTAATCTTTCTAAAGCAGATGTGTTGTCTGCGATCTCGGCTGTAACGAATGATGTTAAGTCACTTCAGGAGAATATTACATGTGTTGCGCATAGTAAAGAGTCGAATAATGATACTCTTCCAGCTACTGCTAAGAATATTCCAATGAGT